GATCCTATTTCCTATGCCTCACAGGAGTTGAGATGATAGGCACTTGTCACCAGGCCCAGATTATTTATTGGGATGGGGTTTCACTAACACTTTGCCCAGGCTGGCCTCAAACAATGATCCTCCCAATCTCTACTTCCCAAGTAGCTGATATTATAGGCATATGCTACCACAGCCAGCCCCAATTTGTGGTTATTGACTTCAGAAATTAAAGTGTTATCAAGAGGATAGAAATAAAAACTATTATGTATCTATTTGTACCATCAGTTAGGATTATAGCTTCCTTTCTGGGTATTTCAAAAAACACTATTTCTATGCACTAGACCACGCTTGGAATGCAATTTCCACAACTACTTAAGTATTTGGACCACCAACTGCAACTTGACACTTTTACTCAATTGTGTTAAGACCTGGATGTTTGTGAAAAGGATGCTAGTTAAGTTTCTAGTGACTATTTGTTTTCCCAAGCTCTTCCTACATTTTTATTTCTTGAAAATTAAGAGGTAAAAGAGGAAAACAGCACCTAATTACTACAAGAGCCAATATTTGTTATTATTCCTTAAAGAATCCTAACTCACCCCAAACCAGCCAAGAGTAACTTTCAAAAGCATGACTTCTTAAAGTGGAAAATGTCCAGTCATCCTGAAAATCTCTCAAATTTGTTTCTGAAGCCTGGACTATGAATCTAAACAGAAACCTTTCATGATAGTAAGATTTGGGAACTATTGTTTTCTATAAATAAATCTAAGCCCTTAGGTACAAAACCAATCATAGCTCAGCTATGAGGCATGTAGTTGATCCTCTTCACTTCAACTAAATAAGTGCTATAATTATCCCATGAGGAAGTTTATTTAATCTCTGACAAATTTTGCCTTGGAAGTTGAGAAAAGCAGCAGAGAAAAAGTGGCCTGTTAGGTGGGATTCAGTGAATGGGAGCTACTATAAGCAGAGGAAGACCATTCTCATGGAGGGGAGAGTGTGAACAATGCCAGAGGGCCCCCAAACTCCATCTTTCCCCATCCTCCATCTCTCCTCATCCTCTAGAAATATCAAGGAGCAGTAGCCAGAGGCCACTTAGCAGTTGGTGTCAAAGCTTGGGCCAGAACCCAATCTCCTCATGCCCCAGCCAGTAGCCTTTTCACAACCTACTCTTGGGACCATTCCCTCTGGGATGCAGTCTTTTCTAAGTAAAAACAAGTCTGACAAATGATCATGCACCCATGTTTTCATCTTTAGATTTGTTTCTCTTTCTGCTCTATAATGTCATTGATAATGAAAAGCTCAAAAATTACAATTTAAATTTTTAACCCCCCACCCCAAGGCTTGAGTAAGATTGACATTACTAATACACTTGCTTCTGACAATTTGGGGGATATAGAATTTGTTTGAGAACAAAGGGTACCAGCTATCAGTTTCGTGACAGTATGTGACATCTCATGAAGGACAAAGGTCAGCTTTCAAACGGCCTACAAAAAAATCTCGACTATTCAATATCTTCTAAAGCTTAAGCCCTCAGCATTTCAACACAGTAAGGAAGCTAATTTACCAATTTAAATAGAATTCTGACATCCCACTCTGCGTAGTAAAATATGTTCATCATTATGTTGAAGGAAGCATGTTTATAATAGTCCTAAACATGTTAACAATATTCCACAGCTCCTAATACTGTGGTTGCTAATTACACCATTTCGACACATATCTATTTCTGTTCTGTCAAATTCATCATCTAGAAAATATGGCACAATAAAAATATAATACAAGACCTATAATTTTTGATTTTCTAATAGCAACATTAACAAAAACTAAGTAAAATTAATTTAATAGCACATTTTATTTAACCCAAAATTAATCTCAAATATTATCACTTAAACATGCAAGTAAACATCTTAATGACCTATTTTATATTCTTCTTTTTATATTAAACTTTCAAAACTCATGCAGTTTTTACATTTATGGAACATCTCAATTCATACACTGACTTTTAAATGGTCAGTGTGAGCCATAATCCAACCAAAATAATAAAGTTGTATTTAGTGGGAAGTATTTTATAGTACTTCAGTTTTAAATTTTAACTTATGTTCATTAAAATTCAGCTGCTGCAAAGGCTGCATGTGTTCTAGCCTATGTGGAATATATACTTAATACAAATACAGCAATTTTATAAAAAAAACAGGTTATGCTAAGGAGAGGTCACTAACAAGAAAAGGAGGATAAAAAAAGAAAATTAAGAAGGTGAATATGGTTGATGTACTTTCTATACAAGAATAGGTATAGAATTTGTAAATCTGTTGAAATCACCATAAGAAAGAGACTAGGGTAGAAAGGGGAAAAATAGAGGGGATGAACCAATTTAGGTTATAATACATATATACATGGAAATGTCACAATGAAACACCCTGTATAGCTATCTTAAAAAAAATGTCAAATTAATGTGAGTCAATCTGTATATTGACTGTATATCAATATAGATATCAATCTGTATATCTATCCTTATCTCAACCAGCAAAAACCCTTGTCCCTTCCTATTATTGCTTATACTCTCTCTTCAAGAAAATTAGAAATAAGGGCAAAATAGTTTCTGCTGGGTATTCAGAGGGGGGAGAGGGCAGGGGCGGAGTGGGTGGTAAGGGAGGGGGTGGGGGCAGGGGGGAGAAATGACCCAAGCCTTGTATGCACATATGAATAATAAAGCAATAAAAAAATTTTTTTTAAATATCTTTTTCCTTTTCAAAAAGGAGAACAGGAAGGTAAAACAGGTCCTGTCTGGGGGATTGGCAACAGTGGAAGGGGGAAAATGTAGGGAAAGGGGATAAAGGGGTGAATATGGTAGAAATATTATGTACTCGTGTATGCAAATAGAAAAATGAGACCTGTTGAAACTGGAGTTGGGGAGGGGGAATAAAGTAGAATGATGGAAGAAGTGAATTTAAATATGATATATTGTAAGAATTCTTCTTTAAAAATTTTTTTAAAGTCAGCTTCTCATTTGCACTAACTACATGTAGCTGGTAGCTGAGACACTGGACGGTATAGATTTTGAAAATGCAGCGATGGCAAACAAAACACATGGGAGGCAATAACATTTGTTGTCAGCAAGACTAGAGAGGATTATGTTTAAGAAGGAGTCTGAGAGAAAGCATGTAAAAGGTCATAGAGAGAAAAAAAACCTGAATTCATGGGTTAGATTAGATTATCTCTGTTGATTTTTGTGACATCTTTTTATTAGCATATATTAATTTTACAAAAAGTTTTCATTGTGATAGTTCCACATACGCATGTAATGTATTTTGCTCATATTTGTCCCCCATCACCATCTCCTTTTCCTATCTTCCCTCGCACTGGCTCCCCCCCAAAAAAGTCATATTTTTATATTCATGTCATTCATTTTAGGTGTAGATTTTGCATATGAAAGAAAACATGCAATATTTGTCTTTCTGAATGTGGCTAATTTCACTTAACATAATGATTTCCAGTTCCACCCACTTTCCTGCTGATGGCATAATTTTATTCTTCCTTATGGGTGGAATAACACTGCATTGTGTATCTATACCACATTTTCTGTATCCATTCATCTGTTCATGGGCATCTGGGCTGATTCCATAACTTGGCCATTGTGAATAGTGCAGCAATAAACATGGATATCTCTATTGTATGTTGACTTAGATTCCTTCAGGTATATGCCCTGAACAGATTAGATAGCAAAATCAAATCAAATGATAGCCCAGTTTAGGGGGGTTTTGGTTTTTTGTTTTGGTTTGTTTTTTTTTTTTTTTTTGTAGTACTAGGGTTTGAACTCAGGGCCTCATGCTTTCTAAGCAGGTGCTCTACTTGAGCCACCCTGTCAGCCCTATTTTTGGTTTTATGAAGAGCCTCCATATTGATTTCATAATGGCTATACTAATTCACATTCTCACCAACAACATCTAATGGTTCCTTTTCTCCCCCTGCATCCTTGCCAGTATTTGTTGTTGTTTGTTTTCTGGATAATAACCATTGTGACCACAGTGAGATTTTTTTTGTCTTTCGTTTCCTTTATGGCTGAAGAATGTTGAAATTTTTTCAAGTATTTATTGGCCATTTGTTCTTGTTCTTTGAGAACTTCTGTTCAATTTATTTACCCATTTGTTAATTGGGTAAATAAAATTCTTTTATTTGTTTTTCTGGTGTTTAATTTTTTGAGCTGTTTGAATATTGTGGATATTAAATTACTTGACACATGAATGGCAGGCAAAGACTCATTGGTGACATCTTTAAGCTTTGTTTTTTCATCTGAAATGTATTATTAGAGTCCTAAGATTAAATGAGATACTCTAAATAACAGGCTTGGCACAGAATCTAGCATACTTCATAGAGTCAATAAATTATAGCTAATTTTTAGTAGCTATGGAAGTCATATAGACTGTTTGCATTGAGGTATGGCAGCCTGTGAGAGGGTTATAATTAATTACTTATGGAATGTAGAGTGAAGAGAAAGGAATTGTGGTGTATTTTGTAAAAACAGTTGTATTATAAAGTACATGTAAAAAAGTGGGCAATCATAAATGTATATGTCAATGGATTTTTTACAAAGCAAGCATAACCAAGCACCCAAATCTGGAAACAGAACATTCAAAGAACCTTAAGCGTTCCTCCCATTTCTAACCAAAGGAACTGCTATCCTGACGTTCAACATTATGGAACTGTTCTGTTTGTACACTTCATGTAAATGGAATCACACATTCTTTTAAGTGTCTAGCTTCTTTTGCTTAACAACGTGTTTTTGAGATTTTCCCACATTTGTAGTTTATTCTCTCTCCTGATGCCACATTCTACTTTATAAATATGCAACAATGTATTTATTCATTTTACAGTAGATGAACATTTGAATTGATTCTTGATTGTGACTATGATAAATATTACTGTACAAAGACTCTTAGTATACTTTGATGATACTGAAATTTGAGTTTTCAAACTTGGACTTGTTTAAAAGAGAAGAATCACTCCTCATATAATTTCATGTGCAGGTACCCTGGACAAGCATAAGGAGCTGGAGGACCTTCTGGCTAAGTTCCTAAGTGTAGAAGCAGCAATGATCTTTGGAATGGGATTCGCAACTAACTCAACAAATATCCCTGCATTAGTTGGAAAGGTGAGAGTTTATTAACACAAATGTCTTCTACTGTATTACTCCTAAGAATTACAACTTTGAGCAGTCCTTTGTTAGAAGTATGGCTGAGAAGGTCCTTTTCTTAGGAGAAGCTGATTGAACATTCACATTTCTTAATAAATGTGCCAGCTTAGGCCAGCAAATCATCATCATGATGCATCTGAAAATAGAATTGCAGGCCTATGTATTAGTAAACTTTATTTTCAATGACAACTTAGAAAAATCTATCAAAGTTTTAGATTCTTTAATTTCTATTTTCAATGTATCAAATACTTATTAAACATTTATTTGGTAAGTCCCTTTTTAATTTTTTGCTGAGCTGGGGTTTCAACTCAGTGCCTCACGCTTGCTAGGCAGGTGCTCTACCACTTGACCCACTCTAGCAACCATAATTTGGACAAAACATTTTTCCTATGTTATCCACCTACTTATTCATATAATGAACCATTTATTGACAATCTACTATGTCCTGGTATGAGACCAGATACAGGACATACAAAGATGAACAAGACCAGTGCTTTGTAAATTTACGTAGTTTAAAATCTAGTAGGAGAAACAAAACAATAAATAATTTTGGATTCATAGTACAGAAAAATTATGTACATACTTGAGGGACAGCAAAAGAATATCCCCAAACTCTTCTTGAGAAAATCTGTGATATCTCTGCAAGAGACTTGAGAACAGAATTTTAACCGTAAGTGTTTCTTAAGGCAAGGTAAAAAAGGCCAGCGTGTGTGAAGTACAGAATTGTGGGGGAACTAGAACATAGGATGGTAGTCACAGGGTTAAAAAGAGACTAGAGGTGAAAGCAGGTGCTGAATCACAAACAGCCTTATGTTGTAAATCATGCCAGAGTGTTTGAAATTGTTCCTAAGAAAAATGGAAAATTGGTTAGTTTATTTTAAGAAGGCAAGTACAATAATCAGATTTATATTTCTATAAAATTTATTGGCAACTAAATCCAATCTTAGATTGGATTCTGTATTGAAAAATAGAAGGAAAAATGACATCTGTAAGTCATTAAGACATTATTAGAACACTTGTGGAAGTTCAAATTTGAATTATATATTAGATGAAAGTACTGTATAAACGTACAACCTGGTTTGGGGTTGTTCTTTTTTAATTTTTTTTTTTAGGTAGTGGTACTTGGGTTTTAACTCAGACCTCCTGATTGCTGGGCAGGTACTCTACCACTTGAGCTACGCCCTCGGCCCTTTCTTTGCTTTAATTATTTTGCAGATAGGGTCTCACGCTTGTTGCCTGAGCCAGCTTCAGATCATAATCCTCCTACCTACACCTCCTGCATAGTTGAGACTATAGATGAGAAACCACTATGCCCAGTTTATTGATTGAGATGGGGGCTTACTAACATTTTGCCCAGGCTGGCCATGATCCTCCCAATACCTGCCTCCCAAGTAGCTAGGATTATAGACTTGAGCCACTACACCAAGCCTGCAACTTCTTGAATGTGATAATTACATTGTGATTTTATAGGAAAATGTCCTTTTTCATAGGAAATGCATAGCTAAAGAATGTAGAGGTGAGTTATCATAAGATTTATGAGTCTCAAGTATTTCAAAATAAAAAAATTAGAAATGTAAACACACATGTCTACAGGGTGGAGATAGGAAAATTTTTCTAGACTTCACCTCAAAAACTTAAAACACATCATATGTGAGATTATCAAAATATATGAGAGAATTCAGATTCTGTGTGGCTACAAAAGAAAAAGGTACACAGTAATTTGTCTCTGCATTTTTAGCATATTTGAATAGTTATAGTTCCAAAAACTAGAAATTTTTCAATTAAAAAAGAAAAACTTATAAGCAGCAATTTATAAGCAGTAAATTAGGCTGATTTTGTCAACTCATATCAGGCTGACTTCACATACATACTTTTCCAATTTCAAAGTTTTTAACTGTAAAGTGGATATGTTTCTTTCTACAGAGGATGTTAACACAGTGGAGAATGAGAATCACAAGGTCAGACTTTGAAATGCCCTACTGAAAAAGCCTGTGTCTCCCAGACAGAATAACTAAAACCATCCCAAATAATTTAGCACAGATTCAAGCACGTAACTCTCCTCAAAATCTAGTTTTCCTGTCAAAAATCAAGCCTTTGGACCCTCGTTGCTGCTTAACCAAGTTCATTCAACACCATGGAAAACCATTTGTAAATGCTTCAGTAAAGATGTAGGCTCCTAAAAGCAATCTCTATAAGCTAACTGCAATATAGGATTTTGTCCGTACAATCGCCAGCTTAAACTCTTTGCCTTTTAAAAATTAAAAAGGGGTTAAAGAACCTGTGTTACAGGTTTTAGAGTGTCTGTCAGTTCCCTTTTGATTTCTTTCTTTCTATTTATTTATTGATTTGTGTTCTGTGTGTTTTCTGTACAGGGATGCCTCATTTTAAGTGATGAGTTAAACCACTCGTCTATTATCCTGGGGGCTCGACTCTCAGGTGCAACCATAGTGACCTTCAAACACAACAGTGAGTATCAGTGTGTTTATCCAGCATGTACTGGCTTTCTCCTAGAAGAAAGTAAAGATTATTGATGACACTTTGTCCATGCTCTTCAAACTGACAACTTATCCTAATGAAACACAATTATGTTTAGATTCACTGCTGGATTGTTAACCTCTGGTGACCTGGAACAAAAGGTTGAAGTGTATTAAATATCCAGATTGCTAAGTGTAACCCAAACCTTTTAACGTCACTATTAGTGATCTTGCAATATGGCCTCCTGAAGACATGATTGAACTCTTAGTTCTGCCATTTAGTTATTTGAAGTATTATAACTCTCCCCTTCCTATAATCTGCCCTGGGAAAGTTTGGAGACTCAGTTTGGTGTACTAGACAGGAAAAAAGTTAGCTTACTTCTTAGCATAATGCTTCCTTTCATTATCCACACCTAAGAATGCTCAGGTACCTGTCCCCCCGCCCCCCACTGAACCAATCTATTTCTACTTCATAAAATGTCCTTTCAGGCTGTGGGTTGTGTGGTTGGGTGGTGAGGAGGAGGAAGAAGGTTAATTCTTCTTTAGAGACCTGATGAAACAGCACAGACAGTCTTAAGAAACACTGTAAAGAAAGTAGGTGATGCGATACAACTGCATGCTCTGATCTGGCTTTGCTCCTGACTTGTGTACTCAGTGTAAGTTCTTCATTCCTTCTTGTGCCACTTTCTATGAATTCTGTAATCCAAGTAACTATCATAAATCAAAGTGAAAAAGGACCATGATAACCTTAGGCAGTAGTTCAGAGCACAGGTTTTGGCCACAGTTCCTGTACATACCCATAAGCATAGCTAAAATAAAACAAAATGGCAATGCCAAATGTTTGCCAGGGCATGGAGCAACTAGAACTCTCACCCAATGCTGGTGTTACACAAAATGGCACAGTGTCCCTGTAAAGATCTTTGGCAAAGTCTTATTACAGCTAAATATGCCCATATACTACAACCCAGATTTACCCATGAGAAATGAAAGTGTATGTCTACAAAAATGCTTGTTTGAGAATGCTTGTAACAGTTTTATTCATAAGAACCAAAAGCTGGAAATAATTCAAATATCTATCAACAGAAAGTAGGAAAAATATTTTACTTATTTATACATAGAAGGAAACAAACTACAATGCCCACAACATGGGTAACTCTCAAGAAAAACAATTTTTAATGGAGTAAAACAGACACAAAAAGAGTAGCATACATTCTGTAACATACTGTGTGGGTTCATTTATAGCAAATTCAAAAACAGATAGGACCGTTCTATGCCCTCTGTAAGGGAGAGAATTGATGAGGAGTAGCATAAAGGAAGTTTCTGGGGTGACAGAAAGTATAATATTTTGATTGGGGTAATGAGGTAATGGTTACATTTTTATTAAAATTTATTCAGTTGTAAACTTAAGATGTATATATTTCCCTACAAGCAAATTTTGTTTAAAAATGTTGTCATACAGCATACATAAAATTAAAATCATTTATTCATCATTTTTTTTAAATGTACAGGTTTTGACCCAAGTATTTGTGTCCTCACTCAATAACTGACTAGCTTGTAGGCATAAACAGATTACATAACCTTCTGGATCTCAATTTGCTTATTTCAAAAATGAAGATAATTATATAATCTACTCACATTATGTTGGAGGAGGCTTATCAAGTGTTTAGCACAGCACTTAGCATGGAGACTCCTTAGTTACTTGTAACTGCTGTTTTGTTGTTTGTATTATTGCCATCATCAGTGTCACTAGAGGTCAGTAGAAAATATTATGGTGACCCAGAAGGCAGAGGTCATTTCATGCTGGGGATTGCATGAAGTGCACGACATTTGCAATAGGCTTTTAAATGATTAAGAAAATTCTAATCAAGAAAGAAGTACAGGACATTTCAAACAGAGGAATAATTTGAAGTATGCAAAAGGCAGCAAGTCTTCCAGTATGGCCTCAGGGCGGGGCCAAACTAATAGAGAAGAGACTAAAGCTAAGATCTTGGCTAGATAATGTAAAGTCATTAAGATTTATGTACCAGTTATGATGAATGCACTCCAAGAAGCAACATAAGTTGTCTGTGAAGTGCTGCTTCATGCTATGCTGTTCTGTGCATGAACTGGCATTTTTCAAAACATTTAGTTGCTTTCCCCTAAGTCCAGTGGAGACGGAAACAGAGATACAAGCTTTGAATTACATTAAAGCTTTGGATAGCCTAATTAGAAGGGAAAACCATGCCTATGGATGGTGAAGACTATCCCCAAAGCAGTGTTCTATACTTTCTCTTCTCTGTATTTGAAATTCAGCCCAATATCTACCATTAATCCCTGATCAAGTATTTTTTATCCTCCGTGTTAAGGCTTTTATTTATTCTAAATAGATTTTTATTTTTAATTGATATGTAATAATGGCACATATTTCTGAGGTACACTGTATACAATTAAAATGATCAGATCAGGTTGATTGGCATACCCATCATCTTAGTCATTTATCATCAAACATCAAAATCCTCTCTATTCATCTTAAGGCTGTTATGGTAGCAATATTCCATGATGGCCACCAGTAATCCCCACCTTCTAGTATTTATCCCCTCATGTGGTCCTCTCCTGCATTGTATCAGGGTTGGTGTGTAGAATCAAAAGAATACAGATCAAAAGAATTAGGTTAAGTTTCAAGGACATGTGGCTTCTGCCCCTCTCATCCTCTCTCTGGTCACTATGAGGACACTTAGGCAGTCAATTAATAATAGTAGAAGAGGCCTCTTGCCAACAACCTTGTGCATGGGAAATCCTTGATCCCTGACCTTTGTTGAACTTCCAGGCAATACCTGATTGCACCCTCGAAATTTACCTGAGTCAGAATCACCTGGCCATGCCCCAAATCCTTCATCCAGAGAATCTGTAAAATAATAAATGTTTAATCCACTAAGTGTTGTATAATAATAAATTATTATACAACAATAGATAACTAATACAGGTTTTCTGACCATCATTACATTACAAGGGCATAAGCTAGACACCCAAGTGTGGCTTCCTACTTCCTCCTGTAGGAAGTTCTACCAAGCAGACCCTGAATGCTTTTACCCAATTACTTTATCCACTCAGTCACTGGAAACAAAACCAAAATGGGACAAGTTGGAGGATGACTGGGGCTTCTAGGACAAGCCACTCATCTTTTTCTTGCATAAGGACAGAACACTTGAAAGCTTGCAAAACATAGCTAAGGCTGTGCAATTGAGCTTGCTAATGCTTCTTGAGTTGTTCAGACATGGTTGCCTATCAATTAGTGTAACACAGCTAAGAAATGTCAGCTGCTAACCCATCATGCTAGCAACTTCTTTCATGGGAACAAATGTGGAAGAGAAGTCCCCCAAAATGAGTCTTTTCCTATTGGCTGAGACTGAAATATGAAAAGAAGTTCAAATTGCTTCCCACTTCCCCATCCTACCAAGTTATCAACAAAGCTTCTCTTATCCATGGATACATGCCAGCAACAGGAAAATATCAATGCTCTAACAAAATATTCAAACAAAAAATAAAATACAAATGACTCAAGAGAAATTATGCAATGATAAAATTTCTAAGCACATCCCTACAAAACAAATTTATTTTAAATATTCAAATAAATGAATTCAGCCACAGACCATGTGTTTCCACCAGTTCTAACCGCTCAGTGATCGTTCAGGAGCTACCTGATCCCGCTGACCCAGCTCATGCCACACTAGCAGCCATTTTGTATCTTCTCCTTCAGATTCCAATGCCAGGATAACAATTCAAGTGAAATTACACCCAGGGGAGAACATAATAACTTCATCAGGGAGAAACCAGACCACATCAAGACAGCTTAAAAATAAAACAAAACCTGGCATCATCAGTAATGGACATCTAGGCGTTGCATCTCCAGACGCAATTCCTCAGAAGAGTTCAGCATCATTTACACAGGGTGCAGATCAGAGCACAATCTTATCACTCGACAATACCAAATTAGGAATGCTCTTCAAGTATGTCAGTATCATAAGACAATGACTGAGGAAATGATCCAGAATAAAGAGTTTGTAAGAGCTGTGACAATCCATTGCTACCCCAGTCACACTTGCCCAGGCCAGCCTCAGAGAGTGATCATTGTAAGAGCTGTGACAATCCATTGCTACCCCAGTCACACTTGCCCAGGCCAGCCTCAGAGAGAGATCATCCTGCTTCCATTTCCCAAGTAGCTGGGATTATAGATGTGCCACCACCATGCCTGACAAGTTGGTGAAAGGCACTAAATTCGTGCTACTGTCTTGCAGAAGCAATAGGAAATTAACACACTTTCACTCTCAAATTGTTGAATGTTGTTCCCATTCAACAATGTGTGTCATACAACTTTGAAACATGAGGCTACTGCCCCTGGTATTGTGTTTGCCTCATGAAAACAGCCACCTTGGAGAGCAGGGGTATTCCAAGAGTCCTCTGAATGACTTCTTTCTTGAAAAGTGAAGGAAATGAGAAGGTATGTGGAGAGGAAAGAATTACGTGGAATGATCATGGGTATGGCATGAGTTGCTACTGGCTTTTCTGCCCTGCTATTCTCAAGATAATATTAAATGCTTCAGTTTATGTACCATAGTTCTTTAATCCTTAACATGCATCCACATGGATTAGAGTGATTTAAAGTGGAAGTTGTTTAGGATCTGAAGAAAACATCAAGTTGCCTTCCTGTGCGTGTATGAAATTTAATCAGGCTAATAACTCATGAGTCAGGTTCTTAAGGATGGCCACTTACACTGGAACATTCTGAAACTCTGGGATCGAGGGATTTCATGCAACTCCAAACTTGTTTTACTCCTCTGGACTGTTCTCCACCTCATGTCCTCCCCTTACACCTCACTATACTCTCCTAGATATTAGAGAAAAGAAGATTCTATGTTATGTTGTACCACTATATCCTCTGTAATTTAGAGAAACTATAAATTAATCAGAATTCTTAGCCCTTGAATTTTTTAATTCTGTATAGAAAAAATATAC